GCCGCCTCTAGACGCACACTAATTTTTTCGGGGCCTTGCGCAGCAAAGTGTTGCACGCCCTCAGGGCCAAGCAAGGACATCAGCTTTTTTAAGCCCATCCTGCATGCCCTGGGGCAAATAGGAGAATTGTTCCACCCTCACCGAGGATCAGTGCTAATGACTCAGGTGTGGATTGACTACAAGTGCTACCAAAGGCAGCGGGGCGGCCGTAGCTTTACGCTTAGAGGAAGCGTAAATTAGTTCACCGACATTACGTTCTTCACTTAGAACAAATACGAGTTTAGCGGATCGCAATCCGCTTACTCCAAGAGTAATTACAACCTTAACTCAGGGCTAATTAACTACTCCGTTTAAATCCAAAAACTGACTCTATTTATTTTTATCTGCGGCAAAGCCGCCTAATTTTAAATGCATAGATTTTCCTATATCTGCATAGAAAAATCTAAATGCATGTATAACTACTGACCGTAGCTTCTTGTTTGGGTGTGGTCACACCATGCCCATCTGGTGTGACATACACCGGGTATGTGTAACCCCGTTACATGTCTTAAATTAGCAAGGATGCACGAAGTTTATGTAGGCTACAATCGATTATATAATTCAAGGAGTTGGTCACCAATGATGGACTTGATTGACTTAGGAGACATGTTTCTTGTCTCCTAAGTCAATCTTAGAAATATAAATTGCACCATTTCCCTAATGTCAAAGGCTATGCTAGAAAAGACGTCTGCACAATTTCGTCCTATCGACATCGTCTTTAGCAGTTCTGAGCATTTTTCCAAGCTTCAGACTTCAAGCCCGACATCGTGCAACTCGTAGAAGTACTCAATTATAATTCTGTCGATTAATTCTGCGCCATGTTCGGAAGGAGCAGCAAGTAGAAATGGGACAAGAATAGGAGAAGAAAAGTCAATTCTTTAAGCTTCAGCCTTCAAAGAAACATCGTTGAAGATTACTCGAACGCATCAGACTCATCTCCCTTTGAAGACACCGACACATGGTATTTAAAATGATGACGCTTATTTTAAATAATAATTTATGAACTCGACAAGACTTTGACGCTATAATCTGTTGTAGTTGGGCACATTTGAGTAGTAGCCAGGTGTGGTGATGGTCGAGAAATGTGGCTTCAGTTTTTTGCATGATCTTTTCTTATCAATCGTATTCACTGTTGCTGTGTAGACAGTATTTGTCGATGATGTGACGGTATCGTGCATCGCAATCACGATCCTGCGGATACTAGACACGTCGGCAATACTGTAATTTTCAACTTGTCTCTTGCCAGCAAGATGAGTCAATTCTTGAATCTTGTCGCGTCGTAAGCTTTAGACAGATAGGTAAAAGCTTGGCGCGAGTGCACCAAAGCACATGAATAAATCTTGAAATGCTATCATTGTAATTTTAGATCTAGACACACTCCCCAAGAACTTGACTTTTCAACATGCGATCATGGTCAATACGACCCGTTCCACTTCACTTTTCCAAGGCTGCAAACATTTTGTTTTTTACCTTCTCCAAATCATCACCATAACAAGCCGGCGAATCTGATTTCGCTCGACACGATGAAGGTTACATCTGCGTTTGCTGCTATCTCGGCAGCTGTTGCTAGTGTAATTGTCGACGCTGGTCACAGTTCTCGAAATCTTATTCTCGGGGGTGATGTCGTTCCAATTGGCACGAAGCGGTACACCGCTATGATTTTCGATCCCAATGAAGAGCTTATCTGCTCTGGTGTTCTTGTCTCCTCCTTACACTTGCTAACCACGGCATGGTGTGCGGGCTCTGACCGAAACGATAGAATTCCTACTAATGTAACGCTGGGTGCGCATTATCGCAACGAAACTGGTGAGCACCATACCGTCGTTTAGATCCAGTATCATCCAGAATTTTCTACGAAGATTTTCTCACACGACCTTGCGCTTTTGACTCTCGATAGTCCGAGTGCTATAACACCCATCAAGCTTCCTAAAAATGACGATTCGGACATTACCTATGGCTTGGTGACAAAAGCCGTGGGTTGGGGAGAAACCTCCTTTCCCGACGGAGAGTTATCCGACGAGCTACGAGGTGTTAACGTTTCTGTGTGGACAAACGATGAGTGCATTCGCATTTTTCTAGATCTTGACAATTCGTACGTGTGTGCCGGCGGTACTCCCGGCAAAGGAGTTTGCCATCATGATTATGGGTCTCCACTTATTAAAGAGAGTGAATTGGGAGAATCAGAAGACATTGTCGTTGGTCTGCACTCGCTCAGCGTCCAATGCGGAGTTGCTGGGCAGCCTTCACTTCATGCTCGCGTGTCAGCTGGTGTAGACTGGATTCGTAAGGAAATCGGCGTTTGAAGTATGTTCCATTCTGGAACAGTCTTCATTAACAATTAGTAGATTTCCAACAATACAGCTACCAAACTCTACAAAATTATTTTTTTGATTTAGTTAACATGTTTTTCATCTCTACTAACTGTTTCAATGTGGTGGATTTGATGTCGAGTCATCCTATTCCATTCGATCTGCCTCTGTGTGTGTTTGTCGTCTTAGCTGCATGTCTGAAAATCCGTAAATATCAGGTATGATATATGTATACTGCTCATTGAAATCGTTATCGACCTCTTTAACTCCACTCGCTCAATCAGTTCTAAACAAATTTTGTCGTTGGAATGTTTTCAGAGCTGAATATGTTTGGTCAATTCTGCGTTACAGTAGGCCAGGAAAAAATATTCTCGCAAATTAACTTAAAAAAGAGATCGATCATACGGCTTTCACGATAGCAGCGCCGATTCAAAGAGCGAATAATTTTATCTTATGTCGTTGAATGCGATTGATCTTTTGGTATATGACGCTTTTTTGAATAGAAGTAAATTTAGATTCACATCTTAGCAATAAACGATTTTTTGAAAGTAAGAGCAAAACATGCCGCGCATATCAATTCAATAGTAATTCACGGAAGCTATCACACCGCATTGATCATGGGGGCGCTGTGCACCCGCACATATGATGGATTTACTGTCAAACTCCATGAGGTATGCGGCCTGCACTTTAGGCGATATTTCATGAGCCGATAGAAATAGGTGAATAGTTTAAAAATTTGTTTTTCCTCCTCTGGCTTAGACGCTATTTCTCGGCAAGAATTATTAGTTACACTCACCCACTGTGATAATGATCGTCTGATAGTAAGAGCAACACGAATGGGCGAATGCCGTGAATATCAGTTCATCACAATTACACACAGCTTTGACAACAAAAGTGCTGTGCATTCTGCACATCAAATGAATGCAATTTTATAATCCATAAAATTCAAGCTGTGAGCCCCAATAGAAGATAATACCTATCTGCTCAACTGAAAGTGTCATATCCAAAGATATATCTGCAAGAAGTGCACGATGCTAACAGCCTGAGTCTCGCTAATTTTCTCCTTGAATGAAATGGTTAGTTGTAAGTATCTGTAATGATCTTATAATCTGTATCAAAACCACTTAGATGCACCCTAATCTTAACGAGAGTATGATAGGTATTTCTCATTAATAGGAGGTTGAATTTTATGAAGGTGGCAATAGACAAGCGCAATCTGTAATTATGCCCAATGGTGGATACTTGGATTAAAGCATGATAACATCATCACGAGCACCACGATAGTTGAATGTGTACGTACACATAGTAAATAACACTATACTCGGAAGTAGAAACCACATGCAGCCCACAATGCACACGATAGGTACATAGATGCACCTTCATATAATGGCTAAGTAAAGTTGTTCGTCGAGGTGTGCCGAAAATTGCCAAAATAGCTCCGGTGCGGCTCGTTCGAACAATCAATCATGGAGAGAGCGATCAAGGAATCTCTATGTTCGTATGCACCATAACAATGTTTTTGTATCAAGGTTTTCACGTATATTTCGAGGTGTTCGGTGAAAAATGCTTCAACTGAGCTGCCATGCACCCTGCACCAAAGAAACTTTTAGTACCGAGCTCGCGTATGCAACACACAGAGGTTGCTTTCGTACGCTGCACCCAGACGCGAAAGCGGCGTAGTTCTAAGTAGCTAACTATTTTATGCTTTAAGTTGACGATTGATTCTATTTTTAATGAGGTGCATACTTAAATGCTTTGCTATACTCGATAAAAAGTTCTCTGTATTGCCTCGCGTGAGGCTAACAGCTCATGTGTCTCAGAAATCTCAAAACGAGCCCCGGCAATATGATAAAACCAACACTTCGTACTCCGAAATCTTAGCAATCACTAAAATTTAAACGTGAATGTTGTACAATCGTACAAAAACGATTTGGTATAATGTCTAGAAGTGATGATGTACGTACATCTTTTCTTCTAGACATTATAGTGACAATAGTGCACGTATCTTACTTGGATGTGGAACTATTTGTGGATCACACGTCTTTTGTCGTTTACGGCTATGCGCCAAGGTGAGAGCTAAAGGAGCATTGATACCGACATCTCTGTAGTGCCATAGTACCATTTGATATCCTTTTCATGGTAGATTGGTGAGGAATTGTTAGGAAGTGTTAGGAATTGTTCCACGACGGAATAAGGCTTAATATACTTACTTGTGCATATCATTGACGAGTCAAAGTCACTTTCTCAAATAGGTTTGAGATGAAAGGCCCAGACAAGCAGCAAAGATCTAGATATTTGCAGGTCTATTCACAGCTTAACGGCTCAAATTAAGCAAGACAAGAACACGAACCCTCGCTGGCATGTGCACACTTGCCGATACTGGTAAATAGTTTGCTGAAGCGCATACATTCAAAAATCACTCGCAAGTGCTCGAATCAACTCTTCTAGCTCAACATAACTATAGGCATATATACTGTCGTCATATGTCTGTGCACACGGCTCGACTTCGTCTGAATACCGTGGTCACCAGGTGATTGAGTGTCCCTAGTGCAATATACAATCTCTCTTTGTAGTTTTTTGTTGAAGAAACCGGCATGCTTCTTATAACACACTGTACAATTTTTCACCGACGTCATAATTCTTATTCATTGACTGTTAAGTCACGATAGCTTAAACAGCCGCCCATAAACTTGCCATCTCTGTTCAAATTTAACATTAAGTGGTGACATCTGCCGCTGGGGTAGCTTGTGTTCATTGGCTAAACATTCAAACGGTGCCTAAGCGTTGTAAAATTGATTACCCACGATATCGATCTGACGCTTTAGAGTTGATTTTCACCATTTGACTTCGTATTGTGTTGTTTTGTCGATTGATGTCATCTCGATTTGATATATTAATGTACCATCATTTTTCATTCGTGGATTGCTTGAATTTGGATGTTACTCGTCAGTGGCGTTGCCTTTGTATGCACCCCGCCCCACTCCTTTAATGCGTGCTCTTGTCTGATCAACTCTTTGTATTTCCGTTCTGTATCATTTAGGTTTGGATACATTTGAAATGTACGCAGTAATAAGTTGAAGGGCTAGTGTAAAGCAGTGTGCGAAACAATATGAGCAGGTGTTGAAGATGAAATCTACCAGTCTCACCTGGCTAATCCAGCCTAGCGATACTGCAGGGTTGAAGTCGATAAAGATTCTTTGTGTCAGACTCATTTTACTCAATCCGCAGATACTTAAGAGCCCATTGAGAGGCGGGATGTTTATTGTTATATACCTGAATAGAAGTGCAAGATTTCTATACTTGTATGTACGTACATACATCATTATATCGAAATGTGACTATCTCAGGGAATGTTATATTTGACGGACAAAAATGTACTGAAAACAAACTTGCCAAGAAAGCAATGAGTTGGAATGAAGTTTTATTTCGTTGGGTTAGTTTCTTTGGATAGTGGTAAAAATGCAACGATCATTCTTACTGACTCTGCTCAGGTTTTCCACCTCCCTCGATAATGGACTTGATCTACTCCATTGCTACTGACACACGAGAACTGGCTGTCGGCACACCTGCTTGACCGCCTAGTCCAAAATGACCAACAACACCAATGAGAACGTCATCCGAGTCTCCTAGACCGTTCTCTAAGACAAGTGGAGCACCAAAATCCCCAACTTCAAAACCTTTTCCAGGTTGACCGCCTGCACACGAATCTGCATCATCGACACCGTGTTTAGCAAAGAGATCCATGCACTCGACTAAGCTCCAGATTCAAGGTCGACACCACGCAATTCATATGAGTACTCAGCTGTCTCTTCGATAAATTCTGCGGTCGTTCCCCATCCCATCACTTTAGTCAACATTCCCCGTTTGATTTGCGAGTCGTCCACGAAAGGAAGATTAGCGGGTGGGATCTTACTTGGTGTTTCCAGAATTAAATTGCCAAAGTCGTAGGGAAATTCCGAGGATGTAGTGTTCAGCATTGTATGATTCTGAGTCTTAACGATCGTGATCTGCTCACCATCTCCCGTTTGGTTGAGATAGTGGGAACCAACTGAGGCGTAATTTGGTCCTAGCGGACCCTGGACTTTTGTGCAGATGGATGAGGTGAGTACATGGATTGGACTATTGGGGCTTGAACGGATACCGACAACGTACTGCTTTGACCCCATCGGAATGATATCGCCTCCGATAATAAGTGCCGGAAAGTGTGGCCTGCATTCACGGTGAGGGCGACGCTGGCCGGGGTCATTGAAGCAATAGCAGCAATCGTGGTAGCTTTCATCTCTCCCAGTATCATAAGATAGGGTGTGAAATACAGTGATTAGAAGTAGGGGAAATTTAACAATGTTTAACACGTCAAACGTGCTTCGAAAACCCATAGTTTCAGCCAGAGAAGACATCCATCACTATTGCTGGCGTTACAACTTGACGAAATCATGTTAGAGATTAGATTGTATAATTGTAGGCATAGGAGCACTCAAGCAAATCTAAGGCACGTCCGAAGTCAAACAATCCGTTGCTTTTCCATAACACTGTATGCCTCGTCACTAGTCATTGATGAAATGGAATGGACAAAAGCCTAGAGTAGAAGCTTTTAGTCTGGTGGACGGTCGTATACTTAAATGAGAAAAGACGTCGTACTTGCTATAAAGAGATACATTGTTGACGTGCATCCTTGATTACGTCCTTCTTTAACTCTTAATCAAGTCTGTTACGAGCGACCAGCCTCATGTTGACAGAAGCCACAACGAATCATGAGATTTGCTTCCAACTAGAGGCTATAACGTGGGCTTCAATAGCTTCATGTTTTTATCAAAATTAGCCAACCACTTGCTAAGTTCAGCTAGACTATTAGTCAACGATTGGTTTAGACTTTATCTGAGCATTATTCTTGAGACTACCCCCCATCGATATCGAATTCAGTAACGTAATCGCATTTGTTTCGTAGCAACTTGCTTTGTTCAAAGTCTTCTGAACATAGTTGAAAAGACAAAAGTCGAAAATGCGATGTAGTAGGAGCGGAAAGAATGTTGGATGCACATTAGAGAATTTGAGCTATACGAAGCATCAAGATTGGATCACAAATTTGCTCTCGACGGCTACAATGGACTCCACTTCTACTCGCGAGTAAATTAGAGCAGCAAGAACAATACTTTTGGTAGATGTATATTGAAAGTCCCATTTTTTGTAAAGTAAAGCACACGTATTGCGCCACAATCATAGAAAGTGCTGTTATTCATAGAAGCTTGTGATCATTACCTTGCTAACAAAGACCAACACATGCAAGCTATGTAGTTTGTTTTTATAGCTAAAGCATCAAGCGATCTGTCAGCGATTTTATCTGGTTCTGATTACTGAAAATTTACTTGTATATACCAAGATCTTCAAATAGTGATCTTGTGTAAAGGCGGCTCAAGTTAAGCCTGCACCTAATGGACGAGGAGCTTTCGCTGTGAGTAGATTGTCTTCTTTTCTCAAGTTACAGGCCAAGGTGAAGCAAGAACGAAGTTTATGCAGGCTACAATCAATCATTCAGCTCAAGTATTAAAAAGCTAATCGACCTTTTTCTCTCTAAGTCTTCCATCAGCTTTCACCACCAATGTTGGTTTGATTCACTCAATCGCAAGATGGCAACTCATGTCTACTCTGAAAATATGTATAGCACCATGTCCCAAATGCCAAAGTCTAACGCATGCACAATTTTGTCTTGTCAATACCATCTTTGGCAAAAAAATTCCAGCATTCTTCCAAGCTTCAAACTTCAAGCTCGAGTCGCACGAGTACTCAATCACGATTTTGTTGATTAATCACAAATATCGTTGCGTTGCAACATGCGCCATGTTCGGAAGTAGCAGAGGGTAGAAGTGGAACAGGAATAGGAGAGGAAAAGGTATCCTCAACGCTTCAGTCTTCAAAGAAACATCGTTGCAGCAGACCCATCTGACTCATGGTAAAAAAGTAATTTATGTTCCAATTTGAAGTTAATTACATACCAGACAAGTTGTCGACGCTAGAATCTGGTGGAGTTTTTCTTTTGAAACTTTCGACATCGTCATATCACGACATAATGCCGTCTACTGTCGCTGGTAGACAGTATTTATCGATAAATTGACGGCATCGCATCGTAATCGTGATCTTGCGTATACTATACACGCTGGCAATACTCTCGCCAGCTAGATGAGTCAATTTTGAGGTTTGTCGCGTCGTAAGGATTAGATATACAAAGAAAAGTCGAGAAATTAAACCCCGAAAGGGCTATCATTGTAATTCTAACATCTAAACACACTCTTCAAGATCGTGACTTCCCCATCATGCGATCATGCGATCATGCGATTCATGCGACCCGTTCTAATCCACTTTTCAAAAGCTTAATGGCATTTTAGTTTTTTCCTTCTCCCAGCTATCACTAAAACACGCTGACAAACTTACTATCCTGCTCGACACGATGAAAATCACATCTGCGTTTGCTGTTGTCTCGACGACCATTGCCAGTGTAATTGCCGACGCTAGTCACACGTCTCGAAATCTGATTCTTGGAGGTGACATCATTCCGATTGGCACGAAGCAATACACAGCTATTATTCTTGATGCCAATGATGAGCTTACCTGCACTGGTGTTCTAGTCTCATCGTTGCATGTTCTCACCACCGGAACGTGTGTGGGTATTGACAATAACGCAAATATTCCACCCGCTTTGAAATTGGGTGTACACTATCGTAACGAAAGTGGTGAACACCATACCATCGTTAAGGTCCAGTATCATCCAGGGTTTTCCACCGATACCTATTATTACGACTTTGCACTTTTGACTCTCGACAATCTAAGTGCTATAACACCTATCAAGCTTCCTAAAAGTGACGATTCGGACATCACCTATGGCTTGGTGGCAAAGGCCGTGGGTTGGGGAGAGACCTCCTTCCCCAACGGAGACGTATCCGACGAACTACGAGGAGTCAACACTTCTGTGTGGACAAACGATATGTGCGCTCGTATTTTCGAAGGTCTTGACAATTCGTACGTCTGTGCCGGCGGTTCTCCCGGCAAGGGAGGTTGCTTTCATGATTACGGCTCTCCACTTATTAAAGAGAGTGGATTGGGAGAATCAGAAGACATTGTGATTGGTCTACACTCTCTAAGCATTCACTGCGGAGTTGCTGGGGAGCCTTCACTCTATTCTCGTGTGTCAGCCGTTGTGGACTGGGTCCTCAAGGAAATTAATGTTTGAGGTAGGTAGCTTCCTGGTAAATTTTTAACAAAAGAGCTAACTCTACAAATATAATTCTTGATTTTGTAAACAGGCATTTTATCTCAACTATCTGTTTCAACGTGTTGAATCTGATGTCGAGACATTTAGCATGTGTTTGAAATCTTAGCTATTGTTGTATTCTATTTTCGCATTAGACTTTAATCGGCAAGTTTAGCGTCAAATTCATAATATTCTTATCATTTTTGATCTCTAATTACTCGTTACAATAGATCAGGGTCAAATCTCTCTTCCCAGAATAAACTCAAGAGTTTGGCTCGATGTTAATAGTGGAAGTAAAAGAATGTGATATTTAGAACCAAAAGTGATACTTACCCTGAACCTTGCAAACTGAATTAGTAATAAAAAACAAGATGGAAGGTTATTCAAAATTGGACTCATTCAAAACAGGGGCGGCTTGCATTGCATCTACCCTACCTCATTCGAGGGTTCAGTACAGTTGAAGGACGATGTTGCAGTTATTGTCTACTTCACATGCATTTGTGTGTACAAAAATTGAGCTCATACTAGCTTAGTGCTTTTTTTCTACATTCTCGATTTAGGATTCAATCGCCTCTACAGATAGTTAGATGGCAGTTTTCTGTTAAGTCAGTACTCACGTCTCCTTGTCCTTTTAATTTCTCTTGTTATTCTCCTCTTGGTTCAGCCGAAGTCCCACGTGTTTGTTAACTAGACATCATCACGGCAGAATGATTCCACAACCTTACTATGCCGTCATGACACAAAATTAAGGCAATGTTTGACATTAGATATTATGAGTTTTCACTTTAGAATTTACCGGCAAATCAACTGATATGATTATCGCAGCTAAGTCCTTCTTCCCGACAACACCCGTGTCCACGACGTCGATCAAACGCAAATATACTGGGAGATCAATATCCGATGTCTCTGCCGAGAAAGGGTCTATTTCGACATGTCATGGCTATCAGGGATGAAAACGATGTCTCAGAGGTGTGGCTTGTGAACGACGCCAAGGCATTGAACAAGATGATGGAACTGAACATTCAACTAGGATATGGTAAGTCATTAGCGCCATCGGGGCATAATGTACGCTGCAATATTTTTACAAACGCTCGACACTGCACAATCTCATAACGATGACGCGTCGACTGTACGAATCGCAATGAAAAGCGTAACTAGTGTGGCGAAACATTTGTCTCTTTTGACGAGCTAAGTTTGGGTCTCTAGACTATGTAAAGTCAATTGAAGATTCACGCAAGTTTAGGGTATTTCTCCAAAAACTGACGTCTAAGATCTATTTAATTTTATCGATCGCATCAAATTTGAGGGACATCACAGAGATTGGATCAAGGAAAAGAGGCACTCGATGAAGCTGGGCAGGAATGAGGCTATGAAGAATGGTTCTGACTCGAATGAGAGTTCTGAAATATTTGAAAGCGATTCAAAGGTGGGCAAAGCAGCGTTCGAAAGGTAGCTTCACGCAATAACGGCGGGTTTAACCGGTATGGCTACATGAAGCGGAATTGATGGGGCGGGAAAAAGGTCATCAGTTTGATGCGGTATATATAGTGGGCGAAGGACGATCCGCAAGGTGGTTTATCAACCGTGGCGCTTCGTTTTATAAGACCACGCACAGCAAGGAATTTTAAACACAACGATCGTAAGATGCAATTACAGATTGCAAAAGGTATGGATTAGTATAGTGAAACTGACCGATTAGGGTGAAAAGGGAGTTCGCATGGTTGACATCTTATATATTTTAGGGTTCGACAAAGGATAGTTGTCTCTGGTAAGCTTGCGGAACGCGGATAAGCGTTGGATTCTCGAGAATTTTGTGTGTCATTTAGAACAATTGTATCGGTTTTAAATTCATTCAGAAAGATGTAGATGCTCGATTGTGAGCAGAAAGATGCTTGTCACGTGTAGTATTCCAGGGCTGACACTTAGGAGGAGCTTTGGCATGCTCACATAGAACACTTTTTCTTAATTCTTTAAGCTAACGATACAGCGCTCAGCCGAAGGCATACGGATATTAAGCAAGAAACATAGATTTTGTGCTCCGGGTGTTACAAGGGCTGGCAGACCGTCACGACATGTCCCGAATTTCATGACAAAGACGGCACGTGTTTGCGTGCGTGCACACAGATATCATACTTTCAATGTGGACTCTCACGAAGGTAGTACCAAAATGAATTCTGACCTATAACGTTACATTTTTGAGCTAGATAACTCGAAATATCCCTGATCAAAAGCAAGATTGAAGTAGCTGGGAAGGTAACGGCACATATTAAGCTCCAAAAAAATAATAGAGTAAGGATTAAACACTGCGTGATACAACAATGGAGTTTTGTTCGGAATGTTTTAATTCTAACAGCAAAAAAAAGTTTGTCGAAGCGGCATCGTCCACCAACACTTCGTTCCGCAAAGCCCTCAGCAAATGAAACGGAAGAGCGCGAAAACATGACTACATGTTTGCGGTAGCTATTTAATATAAATGTTTTGACAAATTTGTGCGTAAACAGGACATTTACGACGGCGATGGTTAGAATAAAGTATATCGACAGTCAAAATGGGACATGCAGAAAGAATGGAAGGAGTGGGAAACTTTAAGGTCGGAGACCCGGTTTTATTGAAATTTAAAAGACCTTCCCACAGATACAGTTTCTGCTGTCTTTAAATAGAGGCTCCATCCACGTTTTTCTTAACCTTTTAAGGTCGTGGCAAAGTGAGGCCTTGCGTTTATGCTATAATTTATGAGAAGGATGTGCACCCATCCGGTGTTCAATGTGGGCTAGCTTAAGCTACGGCGCGAGCAAATGCAAAAGCGTTGAAGTTGGGACGGCGTTCACAGACGCTCGGCCACCAAGAAGCTGAATCAGCAACTGGATTCGAGCACGGAGTGTGACGAATTTTAGTTTAACGGCGCCAGGTGCACAAAGTGACGCATTTGTCTGATCGAAGACATCGGGCCGCTCTGAAAGAGCGCGATGGTCTTCAACGTGAGACAGTCGGTGCACAAAGTGTTTCAAACTCTCGAGGGTTTTCTGCGCAGCGGTATGCGACCTCGGCAAGATTATCGACGGAGCGGACCTTGTCCTCCAGCGCTCGAAGGGCATCGCGAGTCGCCGAACGATGATCGACCAAGTTGTCACCGTCCGCCGCTGACTCGTCTCGATTTCGTGAATGGTCGCATCCACTATCACGTGGAACGCCTCGTGGATCGAGGGTCAAACCTAATATATTGTGAAGTGGCAGCGATACCCACTACCGAGAACTCGTGGGAGTTTGAGGTGCCACTTCGGCAAGACTGCCCAGACGTCGTGGTCGCTTATGATTAGAAGGATCATGACGCTCCGCGTCGTCGTTCGCCCCGCGCTTCTCGGCAGTAGCCCGGAAAGCCAAAAAGCCATGAGATGAACTCAAGCTCTGGCCCTAAGCTGCTGTGGCCGTAGACTCACCCATGTGAGAAACCGAGAGCTCGCGTAAGCGTGATGGATTATAACAAGCTTTGCAGGTCGATTTGCAACTGAATTTGGCAAAGTCGAACCGAGATGGCATTCTATGCGCACACCCACTTCATTGTGGCTCAAATGCCAGTTAGAAAGCGAGGAAAGTTTTCGGTCGCTCACAGAGCTCTTTGTCATCTGCAACGGTTTTGCCAGGGGAAAGCACCACAGGAATGGTCCTCATTGCGGGTACAGGAGCGCCCCCTCTTTGAGCGCGACGTCGAGCGTGGTTCCTATCCATAGGATTTCTTGAGGTACCAAGAAGCGAGCTCGCAAAGCTTTCCGTTGACCAAGCTCGGCTTGTGTAGTGGCCGGGGGCCCGACTATGTAGACGCCTAACGATCGAGAAATCGCGTCTTTCGCTTCAGTAGTGGGATCTGCCGAGTGGAAGCTGTATTTATACGAGGCCCTTGGACCGACCAAGAATGTGAGGGTATGTGAGACACCCTTTGGGCAGCCTCCACCTGCCTCGTCGAGGGTTAAGAGTTATATTGCCACTTCCTCTGGAGTCAAGAAGGCGGGTAACATACACGGTGTCCGCAAGGTTCAAGCAGGGCTCACGTCGCGCCGTTGGCGCACCTCACCCTCTCCTTCTTCCCATCCTGGGAAATGAGTATCCGACTAGTAGGCTATTTCCTTTAAATCCTCGAAGAGTGTCATGGACACAGGGCTAATTTAGCAGAGAATGCTCCTAGGGACGTGAAGGCGTCTTAGACAACGAGCCTCGTACGAGGCAACAGTTAGATGTAAATTGTGGGTACTTACAATTTTGAGGAGAGTGTTACGGGGTACACATACCCGTATGAAAGATTACGTCAGACACGATGGTGTAACCGTACAGAGTTGTGCATTTTACAGGTATGTGGAATCACGCAATGGTGTGGCTACACCGTAACAAGAAGCCACTTCGTGGCGGGACTGCCAGTAGTTTTTT